TGGGCGCTAATTCTAATCAGGTTTCCTCTGCGTTCGTTTATATAAACTCCGTCTATACAAGCTGTTCTAAAACAATCAAAGCCCAGAAGATGACGGAGATGCCTAATTCTGACTGAAATTTCCTTTGGGACATGAGTTCCTTCCTGAGGGCCTTAGAAGAGCAGAAGAAACCTAGGAAATCTAGGAATCCCAACGCTTCATGAAACTTCCTTTGAGTTCCTCCATGCAAAATCCTGTTGGTTATCAAAGCCCTGTAAAGTTCTAAGCACAGCGAAACAAAGCAAGACCCCTAACTGCTGTTCTGTTCTCGGTTCGCGTATATAGTAACTCTTTGGAAAAGCTTTACTAAAAAACAACCAACACCTCGGCAATTACTGAATCCCCAAGTCGAATGAGATTTCCTTTTGGCTTCTGTTATATAAGTTCCGAGAAACCACCGAAACAAAAAAAACGAACTGAGGGTGACACTCCTTTGAAGGCACTGAGACACTATGGAACTGCAGGGGCTCAAAAAACTCAACAAACACTTGTTTGTGAACTACGGTGGTTGCCCAAACAATTGGCCTTTTTGCTTTTCCTACAACAAATTGACTTAAAAAGCCAAGGCCTTCAACATACAACTATCCTAGGCCGAAGTTGGTTTTTTAAGCCTGCGTCCTTCAAACAGCAACTTTTAGCCCGAACCAATTTGTCAAAAGTTGTTTATGCAAGCCCAGACCTTTAAAAAACCAACCTGCTCCTAGGAAACAATTCGTGTTTCTCCAAACCGTACGGTCGATTTATGAATAAAAAACAGAAACTTTTCCTTGAGCCTAAGCATTGCAACAACCAACTTATTCTAGGAACAAGTTGTTGCTTCAGGCCCACGCCTTCAAACAGCCAACTTGTTCCTTGGATTTTTCTTCCAACATCGCAAGGCCATTTTCCAAAACCCAACTTTCCCCTTCTGAGCACATGCCTGCCAAAAACCAACTTTTTTCTTCTAATCAACCAGTTGCTTAAGAAGAACGATTTTCCCAGGAAAAGTGGGGCAGCTACCAAAGTTCCCAAAAGAGGTGTTGTGATTTTTTGTTTTGTGCTTCCTGTGTTTCCGCCTTATCGCTTTATCAACGAAGTACGACAGTACCGCATATAGATCACATGATCTAAAACCCAATGCGAAACTGGGGCGTGCCCAAAATCCGATCATCCAAACATGCTTGTTTTTAGTGGTGGGTCATTGGGGGGGTTGCCCACCTATCTACATTAACATATGAATGCAAGGAGTATTGCTTAGCCATTACGTTCGCGGGTTTTAGGCTTCAGGGTAGGGTGTGAAAAAAGGTCCCCTAGGCAGCTTTATGAGACCCTCCGAATTTAAACGGCCCCACGTGCCACGTGTAGGCTGTGGAGCCTAACGTACAATTTCCAGAGTGAAGCTCCTCAACAGGAGACTATGGCGTGGCCTTGCACCTTGCAGGAATGCCTAGAGGGTGCCCTTTCACTAGGGGTTTCCTTTGGGCTCCTGATTTTGAATTCCTTTAGATCCTAGGACCCCATACTTTTCGTATAGGGTTGCTCACAAATTCAGACGTAAATGTGCGGCTTACAAATTGGATATGAGGGATTGACAGCGTGGAGTTTCGGGGGCATTTGAAACAATGGATGCACGGGGCTTCACGAACCGAGGGACGTCTGGTAACACCCCTCATTTCTTGCTGGGCCCTTCTTGCAGACATTCCAAAGAACATCGCCTGCAACATATGATATGATTTCCTCAAAATCCATGTGGGGGGGGGGGGTACTTTGACATTCCCGGGTAGTTGCTGGGTAGTTTCATGTGTATTTCGGAAGTAGGCTGATTTGTAAAAAACAAATCATCTGACTCCTATGCCTGCTGATGATTTCTCTCGCAAAGCAAACTCCCAAACTGACCACCGAAAAACCCAAATGCAGACCCCTCACGAACAAGCCTCCTCAAGGAGGTAAAGAGAATCGGAATCTCCAGGGGCAGGGTCTGGGACCAGGGATCTATGAATCAGGCATCTACTCTTAGCCCCAAACCTGTCACTCAGAACCAGAACCATCCCAAGGCGCTGCCACGATGGCGTCTGCATCGGGAACAGCACCTCCCATCAAGCTCAGAAATATGATGGGGATCGATCTACACTTATGGAGGCTGCAGGTGTTGCATTTGATCTTCTGGGCGTCTGTTCTGGTCTTTTGGTTTGGCTTTTCCGTGGTTGTTGCCATTGGTCTTGATATGTGGAACATTCAGGGCAAATGGGCTTTGAGGGTATGATGCAGGCTTGGAATCAAGGTTTGGGGTTCGGGCTCCCGGCCTGCCACTTTTTTCAGGCAACCCAGACACATGATGAACACGTAAACACCCAGAGAAGTCAAGAGAACCCGGCTCATCCTTTCCTATTCCCCATGCAATGTATGCCTCAGATTCGAATGGCCCTCAACCAGGAACCCTGAAGTGCCAGGTCATGATGAAGAAATGCCCGAAAGCTAGCTGCGCTTCGGCAAACCCCCACATACCTGGCCTTTGAGAAGTTGGCCAGACATTTTCGCCTGGCACGTTGCAGCACTAAAGGGTTAGGTCCGGTTCAAGAGTTCTGCTTCAAACAAGGCTACCTCTAGGGGGTCGACCCAGGAATCACGGTTCAGGAATGAAGGTTCAGCTTGAAATTTAGGGTTTTGAGGTTTGGGCATAGCGATTGTCAGGCTTCAGGCCTAAGGTTCTGGGTGGAGGAGGCTGGGAAGCTATTGTTTAAGCTTTCAGGTCCAGTGAGGGCTTGGGTGCTAAGGCAGTCTGGAGCTCAGGGAGGTCAACGTTGAAGTTTCAGGGCTTGGAAGCTTTGGCTGGGGGGGGTTTGTTCAGAGGTTGAAGGTGTCTAGTTTGGAGATACGCGTCAGGTTTCTAGACGATTTTAAGGCATGGGGTTGAGGCAACGAGTGGGGCCTCAAAAAGATTACGGGGAGGCTGGTAAGTGCACTCCCAGCGGCAAAGCAATTGGGTTGCTTCTAAGGTCATCCTTATTTTGGGGATGTCCCTTGTGCGGGGCACTGCACGTGTTTGGTAATGTTGACAGGCTCCCATTATGGTCGAGACACAACAAAACCTTGTACCGGACTTTGTACGCTTTAAGAAAGTGACACTTGTTGTTGCCTACCTAACCTCCTGCAACATTGCAACATTAATCGGAACCGCGGAAGGTTTAGTGCCACGACTGGTACGCTAGGCTTCATGGTTAAGCAATTGGTGCTGATACAGGCTTTCCGAGTCGCATGGATTACGTGAGACACCTGTCCCTGCAGTTCATACAGGCCCAGATTGCAGCCACCCCTTCTTTAAGTCAAGTCTACACCCCAAAATGAGAAAACTGGAGTTTCCCCTGGGACCTTGACATCCACGATTAATCTTTGAAGCAGCTGCACAAGATTGCCTCTAATGCCATCAGCCGCGCAGATTTCTGGTCTATGCCGCAGAAGGCATCTACCTACCATTAAAAGGTGGCATGTTCCAGAGAGATGCCAAAATTACGTAACGTGATCCTTGTTCATATGAAGCACTGGGACTCTGCTATTCCTACTAAACCCCAAAATGCGGCTCTATTCTATTAGACATCACCCTAAAATCATCCATCCCATACTCTTTCCAAACATTGAGGGAATGTTCATCCTGCTATCCAGCCTCCGCCTCCAAGTGTCGGCAGAGGATCCGCACCTGGGAAAGCTTGAGCTGAATATCCAGGACAAAGCAAACGCCTCTCAGAAACATGTTTGCTTAATCCCCAAAAGAAGGTAACTGGGCTCTAGCTTGCCATAAGCCCACACCCTCATCTCCGGATCCCGCGAGTAAAGTGTACGCTGCCATTCAAATCTCTACGAAGCCAGGCTTGCACAAACGGACTTTTGGAGCCTACATGATGGACCACGGTACAGGAATTTGCTCACAGCACAGCCGATTATCGTCATCTAGAAACACTGGGAAGTTGTCATTGTTCGGTATGATGTATTGACACTAGCCAAGCGCAAAGGCGGCATTGTCTTTATTGATGCTTGTGAATTCAGGAGCCGGCAATCGCAGCGGCGACCTCGTCCGGATGCCGCTCGGAGGAGCTTAGCTGAGCCCACTCTTCAGCCGAAGCGTGCCTGCAGACGATGATAGTGCTGCTACTCTCAAAGTCCATGATTTGGTCCCCGGTACAAGCAGCCCAGAAAGGAGCCATGACCCAGCAAATTCGGCCCTTTGGACTCTATACATGATTCCACAACCTCGAAAATTTGGGGAGGATACCCTGAATGGCTGGCGGAGTTTGTCAGTTAAGCAGTGCTTAACCTCGAACGCGGCTACCCTCAGCAGAGTTATATATCGTGTCAATCTACATGTGGGCTTAAGAAGCAACTGCTCCAGGGTCTGATGCCCCATCCTGGAATAAGATGATTCTGAAAGATGCACACCAGTGATCTTGCAGCAGTGTCGAAAAGGTAGTATGCCTTCACTCTAAAGAATCAGACTCTAGAACCTAAAGCCAAAGCTGCGAGCCCAAACTTGAATGACTTAACCCTTTTATACACCAAGTCATGCAATGCGGAGCCTCGGCCGTTCCAGCGCCGCCTGAGCCAAACGTACTTGGAATGTAGGATGCGGGTTTCAGGCATTGAGCGTTTGAGGGCTTATTAGGTTGTGGCGTCACAGGTTCCTAGACTTATCCCGTTAATGCAGCCCTCCTATATCCAGCATTCCAAATAATCATAAAAAATGTTCCAAGTATCCTGACCTGGCCCCTAACCCCTAGACTCAAAAACTCAGAGCCCTTCACCCTAGAACCTTGGAGTTTTCATCCAACCCCAGCAAGCGCTGAATCCTAAACCTTGAATCCTGAAGAAAGCCCGAGGCCCTCAGACTCCAAATCAGCTACACATGCACTTGTATCCCCCAACAGAAAGCCCAACATGGAATCCTCAAACTGCCTCAAAGCCTTGCACCCACGAATCCTTAGCACCCTCACCCATTTCTTGCAATGCCTGCGGGAAGTTGAAGGCCCCACCGCACGCACCGCCAGTGGATGGCACTGGCAAGACGAAGGCACCTTAAGCGGGCTGAAGGTGTAGATTTCAAAGTTTAGGGCGCAGGGCTCAAAGTTCTAATACCCTGCATTAAGGTCCTTGCACCATCCTGCTTGATTGCTTTGGGATTATTGGCTTTAGCTTTGAGGCGAGTTTGGCGAAACCAGTATTCCCTACAAACCCTACATCCAAAATCCTGAGGAATGGTGGAGGGTGAAAATAGTTCCCCAAGCTCGAAACCTGGCTTTAAAAAAAGTCCTGGAATCCGGTCATATGCTAGATCTCATCATAGCCATGTGGTAGCCTGGTTGGGCCGTATGGGCACTAGAAATACTTGCCTAAAACCTTAGTTCTCCCGCGGGACCGTTGTCGTAGGCTACCTTGGCTTCTTCGGACACGCCGGGGCCGCCCTCAATGCAAAGGTAGACATCACCTGATTTGAGCTGATGGGATAAAGGTGTGAGTTGCGCTTACCGGCTTCTCAAAAATTGGAGGGGGGGTGCGCAAACGTGGGTACATTCGACCCGCGATTCTATGGTGTCCCTTTCAGCATGTCGTGCAGGTTACCCAACGAGCACAATTTGGGAGCTTCTGAGAATCCTGGTTAATTTTGGGGGGTCCTCGTGACGTGGCTTCTCTTTCATGACGCCAACTCCTGCTGTTGGCGGTGCTTCGTCTTCAGATCAAAACTGCCTTTTCGCTGCGCAAGCTCGCCCTTGTTCTGAGGCTTTGGCCCAGAAGGCCCTGAACCTATGAGAATGTGTTCTCTGCACTCCTGCACAATATACCTTAGACCCTGCAGACATTCAGCTCGGGGATTAAAAACCAGCCGAAACCTGTGGGGTCTGAAGTGCAAATCCTTGAGACTGCAAGCTCAATAGAGTGCAAGGTCCGCAGATATGTTGGGGGGACATGTTGCTTAACATGTTTGCGGGTATGGGCCAGCTGCTTTTTTCAGGAGGCATGATCATTTCCACCGTAATGATGCGCAGCAGCATTTCTTTCCATGCGGACTGTACATCTTCTTAGCTAAGAGGTATGAACCTCTGCCAAGAGAGCCAGCGGACTGTTGCTATAACTACTCTGTGTTCGTATCATGATCATGGACTTCAGCAATGTTGCCATTACAAGTCTTGAGCGGTTCTTGCAGAGGCCGCATACTGACCCTCCTGAGCCCTTACACAACAGTCCCAGCGTCCGATTCGGCCCAGGACCTTCCTACGCTCCGCGGCATCCAACCCCGCAGCCAGATCCTCACCCGCGGCGAAGCCTGGGCTCTTCGTAGGTTTAGGGGTTCAGGGCTTAATAGCTAGGGTTTCGGGGTAAGAGTTAGGACTGTACTTGGGGATGCAACTTGCAAGGGTTTGAACAAGCATGATTATGGGAGTAGATGAACTTACACAGCTCATACCATGAATACAGCTGGCTCATGGGGTTGCCGGATTGGGGTTTCAAGGACTGCGTAAAAGGTTCTCGGTTGTGAGGTGGGACTTTTCGCGGGTTGCATAGCATGCTTATGTGGAGACCTTCAAAACAAGGCACCCCGCAGCAAAGGACTGTTGGCACATGTGGTTGGCACATGTGGGATTTTTGAACAGTTAACGGCAGGCACAATAAAAGGCGTGGTGAGCTCCGGGGCCGTTGGCTAAGGGTTGCGGGTGGAATCTATTCTACTCTAACTTTCCAAGGGTGTGCGAAACTCACACATCCATTTCTCCTAGCGCTGGGATCCTTTCTCTGTGTTTAGGGGCTCATGCCGGGCTCATACTTAAAATGTATCAACACCTGGAGGCGAGCATTTTATAATCTTGGTCCTGCCTCTGAGCTTTGCCGAAGCCCTAGGCCTCAGACCTTGAAACTCCTGTACCCTACACCATGTTCCCTCAAGCCTGGAGCTTCCCGTGAAACTCCCCAAGCCCTATTCCGAGCTTGGCTGCCGCTTTCATGGCCAAGATGGACTAGATTCCTTGGGAAATGAAGGCACATTACTTGGACGCAAAGTGATTTGGCTGCAGGCACCTTTCGAGGGCTCGGGAAGTGGTTAGGGTACTCGAGCTACCGGAGCAGGACAACTGGGTCGTAGAGGAGGCTCGGCTCTCAGACTTTTGCCAGGCGTGCGGCAAAACTTCTTCATAGAGGCGTGCTGTGCAAGGCATGGAGCAGGCAAGGGTTTGAGACTGTACACCGGACCGCGGGGATGGACATTTAGAAGTTGCAGGTTTCTTCTTCTAAGGAAGGCATGAATACCCGAACACGGTCAGCCTCAGGCAGATGTCTAGACCTTGGCAAATCGCATGAAACACATCTTTTGTGTATGTAGGAGCACAACCCCAAACCGACAAATATGAGGTTGGAGCCCCTTCTTGAAGATCGAAATTACAAGTGCCAGTACCGTGTCAAGCAACCTGGCGCAATGCGGAGAATATTAATATGCCTTTCGGGCTTTTGCAGCGCGGGATTCATGACAATTGTGCTAGGCTCCTGCGGTAAATTGAAATTCGCGTGCCCCAGCTTGACTCGAGTAAGCTAGCTTCACGAACTCGATGGAACATTTTGTAGAATTTGAGAGACTGATCCCGCATAAGCTTCGATCCTCACATTCCCATAATCCTCTGTGACCCATAATGCAAAATTTTAAGGTAGTTGTTTCGGATCAGACCATGCAAGCATAACAAAAACAAAATCTCTGCTAGGTAGACGTTTTTTGCCTTTCTAAGAAGATTCCCCATGAAGCAGTAGGCAGCAAGAAGCACGAGCAGAGTTTCACACAAATGAGAGACTTGTTTAAAACGAGGCCTGAAGCCCGGATTCTACCTATTTGAGGCATGCAGGCGGTTTTCAAGGCCTGGATGAGTGAAACTGAAGCACCCCTTATGAACCAAGCTCCATGATAGCAAGCCAAGCCCTGACCTCTACATATGCCTAGTAAGTAGTACACTCTAAGTTTCTGCCCGGATCCCCGAGCCACTTTTCAGCGAGCTGCCACACTCTTCGGAAGTTGTTGGTCTGCAGACCCTTTGCGAGCACCTCCTTGCAGCAATTGCTGTACGAAATTCATGGCCCCTTTGAGGGTCCTGATAACAATGAAGATGATGCTACCCCATCCTGACAAGAGATATCTTGAGAAAATCGAACGGTTTTCGTTGGTGATGAAGATGGGCACAAAGAGTTCTATGCTCGCAAACGTCCAAGCCTCAGGCTCGCAAAATTCACATCTGCCACCAGTCCATTCTGAGACTAAGACCTAGAATGAAAAAAACACTCCAAACTCTGTGAAGAAGCTTGAATTTTACTTTGAGAGCTTGGTGCCAGAATTGCTTCATATTCAAGACACCGTCTCCATTAAGATTTGTTGATGGGATTAGTCAAGCGGCGTCGATGGAATGATAAGGGGAGGCAGGAGACAAATGCCAAACGAACTGACTAGGACTTTCATATTGCCATGCCGTATATTTCTCCAAACAAACAACCTATATTCACCAAGCAGACTGCAGGCCTGGACCCCAGGGTTTCCGCCTGTGAGGATCACGGCATTGCTGTCACGGAGGCTACTGCTGAGCCTGCAGAGTGGACATGCACGCTAAGTCTGAGTTGCGTCGTCGTCGCCGTCGCCGTCGCCACCGCCGTCGTAGTAGTAGAAGAAGTAGTAGTAGTAGTAGTTGTTGTTGTTGTTGTTGTTGTTGTTGTTGTGGTGGTCGTCGTCGTCGTCGTCGTCGTCGTCGTCGTCGTCGTCGTATAGTAGTAGTAGTAGTAGTAGGAGGCGTCCCCCCCCCCCCTAGGGCCTACACTTTACTTAAAATGGAAAATAATGGGAAAGGGGTGCGGAGGGCGGGGGGGAGTTCCGTGCTGAGAAAGTTGACTTGGGAGGCAACAACTCGTGGGACGTGCGTTTTGGGAGTTATAAGGATTATAGCATTAACGGTTTTTTTGCGGCATATGATCCACGCAGGAAGTTCTTCGACCGGTATCACTTTCCAGTGGCAGGCACCACGGCGAGGTGATACTAAGATGTC